TTGTAAAACGGGAAAATTTATATTCGATGTTGGATATTGTAAAACGGGAAAATTCATATTCGTCTTGGTATGAATCTTGTACATTTCATTACTTGTGTCACATAGAGATGGATTCTCATTATTTATTTTATTGTAAAAGAAGAGAGATGTAACGTTTAACAACATATGATTTACGACATTGTTACGTCATACTGTTATCGACATTAAACCTGGCTTTACGACTACACTGTACACACTTGTCTACCGAGTACATTACAGTCACCAAGTCCAAGGGTCAATTGCCCACAAAACAAACCGTGATTGGCCTTGCCAACCCACACCTCCAAGCGAAATGAGCTAACTACGCCCTTGCTCTTGTAGTTGTAATGTATGACGATGTTCCCTCAAACTTCAGACAGTGTATGATGGGCATTTCTTGTCAGTTGGACTTAAGAGTTGGACTCCAAGGAAAGTCAAGTGTTTAGGCCCTAGCCGCGAGTAGGCCCTACTTTATTTACCATTTTTGGCATTTAGTAATTTAGTTTTTTACTATAATTTAGGCCTATAATAATAAATATTTTTTGTTAATAACCGAGAAGCCATAACACCAGCACAGTACTAGTGTAACGGCTATTTCGAATGGCTTATGCAATCATATATATTCACTACTAACCTAATCGTCAAACCAAGCCATTTGCGATGGACGACGGACGATGGAGGATGGACTTTGCGATAACTTTGCAATGCCGGTCGGACGGCTATGGTGGCTCCATCCAGCGAAAATGTCAGTAGTTCGCTCAGACATTGTCACTTAACAAAAATGGGAATTTCTGTGGAATAAAATATCCTATCGTTCTTTTAATATTTGTAAAGGTAGCTTGCGTGTCAGCGTGTAGTAGGTGACGTTCCTAACCAAAAAAAAATTGAGAAATGGGTTACTCGCTAAGTATCTAGTATTTGTTTGCTCCAGAAGGTGGTGCGAGGTAGACTGGTACCCGTTCGCCACCTTCACTCCGGCATATATCCTTCGCTATCCTTCGTTAGTGTAGTGTGTGGAACTGTCGACCGGATACCAGTCTAGGTGCGAGGCAGTCTAAGCATAGACGGGTTCTACCGATCGAAAAACCCGTTTGGCTCTTTCCGTCATTCCGAAAAAAGAATTATGTTGAAAAAAAACCCGCTATTCTGTTGAATGGTCCGAGGGTTCCCGATTGGGGTTCTACTACTAGGGTTAAAGAAAGAACACAAATTGAAAACATAATACATAAGAATACCTCGGACAGCTTGCCTGATCCCTTTCTTCTCTAAAAAAATTAATTAACATTAAAAACGAGTAGACATGAAACCACTGTAACCCGTTGATAACCAATGACTGTACTTATTTTTGGTGGGGCCACACACTGCATGTCAGCCTCACACGCACACACAGGCACGCACCACACGCAGCACAGGCACGCTGCACAGCACAGGCACGCAGCACAGGCACACCACACAGGCACGCGCGCACGCACACACGCGTGCCCGGGGGGGTCATTATATATGCCGGTATTACCCCATGTGCGTTCCAAATTTTGCGGGTTAGGGGGGTGTTTTTCAACTTCTAAAGCGGGCCCGCACGGGAGCAAATAGGCCTCGCTTTACAAAGCTAAATCCGCCAATAGCCTCGGGCATCAGTCAGAGTTAAGCACCGCCGCCCGCAGTAGGGCCCCCTCAGGCGAGCCTGCCTCTCATTCCCTCCACTTTTTGCCTCTTCCACTTGTTGCAAGACCTCGAAATAGGGCTGTAGGAGTCGGGTAGGGACTCCTTTCATCTTGTGTATGCAATAGGCGACGGCGTGGATATTTTCATTGTGCATGCATAGGCAGGTGGTATCTTTAATTGTTGTCTGCAATAGGGGGTAGGGTTTTCTCAATGTGCAGTTCGACCTGGGGCCTATTCATTTTTAGGTGAGACGCCATGGGGTACATACGGATATATATGTGCCCCCCGGGCATGCCGCGTGTGCACTCTCACGCATTCGGTAAGACTCACGCGAATCTAACTCAGGCATTAGTACTAACTCTCGAGCAGCGCGCTCACTCTGTATTACTGTGTTGCCACGCATAGCAGAAACAAGAGAACGGTACCTAAATATATACAGTGTTACTAATACATCCTATAAAAGCAAGAACTCAGGTATTCGTATTACATACATGGTTACGGGCTATGTTTATACTGTTTAAAAACTGCGCACAGGAAATCGCGAATGGCCATTGTATGAATTTCAAGCTGAAAAATGCGAAGCTCCATGCATTGTTCAGGGGCGTTTCAGCCGTATTGCCGTATGCGGAAATACCGTCTAGTTTCAAAGTGTCCTTCGAAATTTTGCGCTAAAAATACAGAAACACTTTGATGGCAATTTGGCTTATATTCTTTTTGTTTTTTCTGCGGATTCATTGCAGGATTGAAGGAAATCGAAAATTTTACATAGGTAACAAAACTAGCTTTAATATCGAAAAAGATGGTAAGCGCAGGCAAATAGAGCGATAACATTCCATATGGTTTTTAGCTATTGCTGCTTGACTAAGATTTGTGTGGCTCAAATGCGTGGCTCATTTGCAATGGTGTGCCAGGTACCCTTGAAATTTTTAAATTTCCCTGCGGTGTTAGGCCCCTAGACCCCCCGCCGGATGCTTCGCTTCCGCGCCTAGCTGACGGCGCCCACTGGGGGGGGGGCGGTGCCCTTTTGGGGGATGTGTGCCTTAAATTGGGAAATACTGACACTGTCTAGCTTCAGCCCTGATTGGTTGTGGGGTATTATATTATATATCAATAATTACATGATAACATACATAATACATATGCTGGCGTGTGTGTACGTTGCCGCGCGCGCGAGTGTGTACAATCTAGAACAATCAGGAAGATACTTATAGACTATAAGCTATTGAAACTATATTACCCCGTATAGTATATATATATATATATATATATATATGATATTATTATTTTTTTCTTTCTATATTTTCCCAAATTGTTATATAGTCGCTCGTCTTTGTTGCAGTCTGTTGGTCCATTATTCTTTATTTCGTTGTATTATAATAAAATAAAAACTTTATAATTTTATATTATACATATATATAATTATATTGATGTGCCTTTTCTGTCCCAAGTTTCAGTCGCGGTCATTGCGCTGTATATAATTACAGTTTTATGTGCAGTCATAGACTAAGATTATGGTTTTAACTTTATTATTATATTATTGTTATAGTTTATGATGCAGCTCAGTGGTCGCGGTGTACGATGCGGCGGTTTCGGTACTTACATCTTGTATTCTATGTCTATGATGGAACCCATCTACAAATATACTGCACCAGTTGTTATAGTAACTATAACAGCCAGCCATTCAGCGACCAGATAACAAATGCAAGATCGGCTCACCCAATCAATGAAAGACTTAATAACCGTTGATATTTTCCCAGCGATGGTGGATCGTCGATCCAGAATAAGAAGCAATTCAGGTTACTTTATATTATGCATATGTTTACTCTGTGTAAATAATTACCCTTTATCGTAATATTATGTTATTACTGTTTTTGTAATGTCACTAAATTCACTCTATAATCAGCATCACTATTAGTAGTTCAGATGTATTACCTAGTCAGTGCTAGTATCATGTAATGATGTATGATGTACCTAGATACAATAATGTAACCCAAACCCATAGCGGATAACCCCCTATCCGCTTGGGTTCGGGTTACATTATTGTATCTATGATGTACCGTACTTTGTCGCGAACTCCGTCATCATAAAATTATCAAATCAATGACAATGATATGCATGATAATGTCACAATGAACAATTAGCATCTTCTGTCAGCATCATTAATTTTCTTCATCACAATCACTGTCTAGATTTTACTTAATCACAAACTCTGATTAGTGATGAGCAAGTTGAAGTTAGAACTTAGAAAGAAGAACGAAATATGTATGTATGTATGTTTCATGTATGTATGAACGGGAACCTTTCCTTTAGATCGGTGTTTCCCTTTTTATTTTTGATAGTTTCCCACCGGTAATTTCACTTTACCGGGAGATTTTGTTCCGGAGCTTCCAGGCTGTTTCTAACTAGTAATGTTTAACTTGCTCTACCCAATCCCCATAACATCTATGTTCATTTAGCCCCAAGATGGTGAGCATCACCTGCCTTTCCTCCAGCTGTGACCCCCACTTCTTGGAGCCTGTCCCACATGATCTTCCGTAGGTGTTTGTATGCCGGGCAAACTAACAGGAAATGCTTTAGTCCTTCTGGTTCTCCATTATTGCACACAGTGCAATTTTCTTCCCCTAACCATCTCCTGGTTCTTTTATTTACGGGGAGGCATCCCGCTCTACATTGGTACAGCAGCTTACTGCCGATTTTATTATGATTGTAAAAGGTTTCTTGTTTAGGAAATGTTTTCCCTTTATATATATAGCTCTGCTTTTATTTACCATCCCCTTTCTCCATCTGACTGTGCTGCCTTTTATAATGATTTTCTCCACCGTATTGTTCCATGATTCGCTCGTCTATTCCAATCCGACGTAAAATTTCGTGCACTGCCAGCTTTCGCTATTCTCCTACATTTCCTCTCTTCATCCATATAATTTAATCTCCCTAAGTTTGCTCTTCGCTTTTCTGTCCTCAAACGTGGACCATCCAAGCTCCCCCCTTATTGTTTCAATACCTGCGTAAGGTGGAGCACCTAATGGTTCCCTGCCAAGCTGGTTTTGGGTATTTTCAAGGGCTTGGAGAGTGCATATATTTTTCTTATCCTTATATATATATATATATATGATTATGTCATTTTCATAGGTTAGGGCAGGTACTGCTACTGTCTTCCACAGTTCGCTCCCTACCCAGTAACTGCTGCAGCTATAGTGTGCCTTCGTTGCTATTGAGCGGTATTTTCTTGCCTTTACTCGCACTTCACCTTCATGTAGTTCGACACAGTTTTCTATGTTATTGTTTATTTTAATTCCTAGGTATGTGTATTCGTTAACGGTTTCTAGACTTAGCCTCCCTAGTTTGAAATTTGCATTCTCATATTCCGCCAAGTATTATTATTAAAAATCATGACTTGAGACTTGTCTTCGCCGTATATCATTTTGTAGTGTTTTGCAAAGCCTGCAGCCACATCTAGTAATTCTTGCAGTTCCCTTTCATTATCTGCTATCAAGACCACATCATCAGCATACAGCATCCATGTGGTTCTTTCCCTCCCTACACCTAGTTCTTCATTTTTCCTTTCTAGTCTATGAGATAGCTCTCTTATATAGATGGCAAAGAGCAACAGTGATAATAAGCATCCTTGTTTGACCCCTCTCGTGGATTTAACCCAACCTGATTCATATGGGCCTAGGCTAGCCTTAGACTCATTTCCCTCGTACATGGCCTTTATTAGCTGGCTAAATTTGTCCCCTAACCCAAGTTCTGAGTTCACGTAGTAGTTTCCTTCTATCTATCCAGTCGTATGCTTTTTTAAAGTCTAGGAAAGCTACATACAGGGTTGATTCCTGTATTTTGCCCTCTGTATGCTTTGGGTCAGAATATAAATGTTGTCACTTGCGCGTCTGTCCCTTCTGAAGCTATTTTGGAGTTCCCTAGAAATCCGGAGTCTTCCAGCAAGTTTTCTGGGCGAGTCCTAATAGCCACAGGCACAGGTTATACCTTCTCCCTTCTCATTTCTTTAGGTCGTGAGAAAATCGCAAGCAAATGTAATGACCAAATCTTGTAGCTAACAAAGTGCTGTACGAAAACGTACCAATAACTAACTTCTGATAACCGTTTCTATGTACTTATTAACATGCCGTTATTACCCATACATGCGCGCTATTGCCAAGTATGTAGTTACATGCCAGTGAGCATTTTTGAGGTTTGATAAAGGAGAAATTCAAACAAGGCAGCTATTACTGTTTGAATTCTGCATGCTTTTTCCGCACTCTTGCTAGTCTCGCATTAGTTCTTGCTCATGCACAGTAATTCAAGTATAAGGAGTTTGCCAAACTTCAAGAACGTAACTCCTTTCCAAATTAACTGATTATAACATGAATACCGAGGCAAATACCAGTTAATAAATGTGCCATATGTGAGAATACGCTAACAAAATATAACAAGGTAGGTCAAATGTGGTAATACGATTGTTTTAATTACGAAGATTTGTTTCCAAGCTACAAGATTTTTCGTATAGAAGGGTGTCAGGCTCGTACAGCGTGAGACAGTCGGTAGGACTGGTCAGGCTAGGAACAAGATAGCTGGTAAGCAAGCAAAGAAAGCTAATTTTGAGGCCAAAGAAATGGGCAGGATAATTAGCAGCTCAATACAGGGTTTCTTACACATTTAAGATGATAAGAGCTACAGTGGCGCACCGCCGTTTTCAAATTTAACATCGCCGTTGTGAAAATGCTGTTCAAATTGTTAAAATTTTGCTGGAGGAGACCCTCAGAACCCCTCCCCCCTCTCCCTCTCTCCCCCCACGTCTGCCTGCAGCGTCCACATGCGTACCTACTGCACGTCTTTAAATCCATCATGTGCATTTTTAGCTCAGCTGACGAAGTCAGATGCAGCTTGTAGAATTGCATGATTGTCCGTCCTTCTGTCAACAGTTGGGCACAAATCTTAACCGCTCGACGTACGGTCTTGATATTCGGGACGGCGGGGGGGATCGCGAAAAGGACTCGGGATGTTGAATTTGGGGGGCAAGGGTCAAAGGTGAAGATGGGTCAAGATGTGTCAATGGAGGGGGAATATTTCCCCCTTAACTTAAGGTATAGGAGGAAATACGGAATTGCGGCACAAATCTCAATGGCTTGACCTACGCTCTTAATATTCGATGTATAGTGTGATGGGAGGAAACCCATCACCAGCGCGAATTTGGAGGTCATAGGTCAAAGGGCAGTGGGGGCAGGTCAGATATCAGACATTTTCTGAGGACATGGTCTATTACGGACCTAGTGTAAAACTTTTTTGTTAAAAGGGGAGAAGAGATGGAAGGAAGATCGGAGTATAAAGTGAGGCGAAGAAATGAGTAGGGAGAAGGGGTAGAATTGGTTGGGAGGGTGGAGCGAGAAGGTGGATGAGGATTAAAGGAACAGGTGGAAAAGTGGTATGAAAGATCGGATGATAGTGGGTAGAGGTGAATGAGGAGGGAGAAGGCAGGGAAGAGTGATGATACTCTACACCCTTTGACCTATCAATAGAATTTTGTTTTGGCTGTCTAGCACACATACTTATAAAAGACAATGCATAGGCCTTACAGACATCTGCTTAGTAATGAACGTATGTAAATCTCTCCAGAAATTTTCACAGATTTCTCCTTTGGAATTCAATCCATCACAGCCTCATTAGTATTGTAATCCTCATCACTGTCAGTAACCTAATCGTTAACAGGGGCCTTCGTTCATACAAACTGCCCAACATAAAGGTACTACATGTGGTTCGTATGCCAGCAGGCCAGTATGTACACTGAATGAGGTAACGAGTAGTGTTCACTGCTTGAGGCAAAGATTTGGCCCATTGAACCATGTTATCAGGAGCAAGACAATAGACAGATGTCTGTTATGTTTTCCATGATGCTATAATACTGTGAGTTCTTGAACTCTTGTTAATTAGTAACTGACCTAGTGAGAATAATAATCTAACAGAGATTAAAGTGAAGTGATCAGAATAAACAGGAATTGAAATTGACCTGTTCAGGTCTTCAAAGGAGCTGTGAGCAAAATTCTAGAATTGTTAAAAATGACAGGTTTTCCCAACTGCTGTACTTTCAGATTTTTCCTTATGGATATTTCACTGCAAGTGAACTAGAGACGGGTTTTGTGCACCTGACCAGTGGAGGAGTTTCCCATTGGTGCTCTAGAAGTGGGTGCATTAAAATGTCGACGCTAACAGAGGAATCGGACCTGGACCGGAGTAGCCCTACTGCATATGACGATATCGCACACATAGAACTCCGACAACAGAAAATCGAAAAGCAGGTAGAGTAGATTTATACTGGAGCTTTTGCAGGGTTTCTTATACATAAGGGGCACAGTGGCGCACTGCCGTTGTCAAATTTAACATCGTCGTTGTGATGCTCAAATGCAGTCCAAGACATTCAAATTTTTAAAATTGTGCTGGGGAGAACCCCTCCCCCCTTCTGCCTGCAGTGTCTGCCTTTGAATCCATGCGCGTTTTATTCCAAAACAGGCCATTGCCTCCTTTGTCTAATTTTCCCTCGGAAGAAACCCTGTTTTGGTGGGCATGTTCTCATGTCTATTTACACGAATTATTTTATATATTATTGACCTTTAGTCAGACCTGGTCAGTACTCAGCAGTAGTTGTTTACATATATTTCTAGGTACTTGATGGTGTTAATCATTCGATTGCATCCGGTATGTCAGGGTTCTCCCCAGGATGAAATTCAAACAGGGGGGAGGGGTAGGGGGAGGGGAGGGGGAGGGGGAAAACTAGGGGGAGGGGGACGGGGGAACTAGGGGGGTCCGGGGGGCGTGTAGTTTTTACCGTACGACTAAGTTAATGCGT